AAACTATATATTCAAATATAGACTTAAAAAAAATGGTTGGTTGGTTGGATGGGTTTAATGTATTCTAAGTGATCGATGACGATCCGAACATATTTAGTTTTAAAGAAAGCTAAGAAATAGAAAGAAAAGATTGTTGATTAAAATGAAAGTGTTATTGCTAGAAAGAGATTATATTTGTATTTTACTATATATATATATATATATATATATATATATATTAAAATAAAGCTTTAAATAGGTTATATATGTACAATGATTATTTCTTAATTAAGGGACATAAAAATCAGTTTGATGTTAAGAACATCTTAATTTGATTTGATTTGATTGATTTTTGGTTTACCATTACACCCCTAAGAACAAGTAAACCATCTTTAGTTATGTTGTTCACTTAAAAATAATTTAAGATGTTAAAAAGAAAAGGGAAAAAAAAAACCAAAACTTTGGACTATAGAAAACAGATCCACTATCCAAAAGAAAAGAAGGATCCATATATTGAATAACAAATTGGGCCCTTCTCTTTAGTCAACTACTAATGTTTCAATAATGGAACTGATTTTAAATATTTTTACAAATTTTATCTTAAAAACAATGCTATAACTAAGTCAACTCTAACGAGTATGACTCGATTGGTTAAGACGTATTTCCTCAACCAAAAAGTCAGAGTTTCGAATCTTCACCTCACATGTTGTAGTTAAAAAAGAAAAAAAAGAAAAAATTGAACTTACTTCAAACTTTTACCGGAGCGAAAAAATTGGTGATCTTACCAGAATTCATGAGGACCATCTTCTATATATTCAGAAGTATAGAAGTTACAAAAGACCGTCAAAATACTTTTGATGCTCGTCAAAATTCAACTAAGATGGTAACATGTACGGCAATGACTATATTAGAGGTTTGTTATTAGTAATGTTTACATGAAAGTGAGATTATAGCTAGTCACGTTACATCTTCGCTATTTTTAACGATCATAGTTTGAGGAAGGTTTGTGCAAATTGCCTTTTAAAATTTGTCCTTATTTTAAACTAAAAAAATTCAGGTATGTTTCGCTGGTTACAAAGAGATGTGGGCTCATCATGGTTGGAAGTTTATACATGATCATACTATGAGATATAAGAATAGAAAAATGGATTTAGTCCATGATTGTGACCTAGAGATATAGTCTTACTTCATATATTATTAAAAACCTTGGATATGCTAGTTGAGAGAAATAATAAGGTAGGGATCCAACAAATGATCACGTTGGAGGATATCACAGGCGAGAGAGTGATTGAGAGGTTATGAAGTTGGCAAGACTCGTTAGTGATAGGATGAGTTTTGAGTTGCATGTGGAGCATGAACTTTTTAATGATGATCGCGATCATAGTGAATACGATGACTCATTTGATGGGTATGTCGATGGGGTCTAGTAGACGGGGAAGTGTGATAACATTGTTAATAAGCTTTGTGAAGTGATTAACTTCACTATGAGAAGCCAGTGATCGATCATCCTATTATTTTTGTGTCTAAGTGGATTCTGAATTATTTTATGAGATTCCAAATGGCAACTAATTGGAACAAAAAGCCACAAATACAATGAAATTACACCAATGCCACTAACTCAAGTCACGCAAACCATGCTTTGGAAGGAGACTTGGCCACCAAGAAATCCAATGTAGAGTCAAACCAAGCATAGATCAAATGGTTAATACACTTATCTCTGATCAGAGGGTCATGAGTTCGAACCCCCACCCCCACAATGTTGTAAAAAGAAAAAAGAAATCCAATGTAAAAAAGCATAAAAAAAAGACACTCTATATTTTAACCCGACTCGTCCTATTCATATGGAGAGTCAGACTAGATTAAATCAGCAATTCCTATTTAATTATATGGAGGCCAAAAGACCTTTCATAAACTAGGAAGACAGCTGTAAATTTAAAAAGTTGCTAAAATTTTTCATCAAATGAAGTAAATGGTCCAAAGGGTAAGTAGAAGAAAGTTTGAGAAGAGAAAAAGAAGGGTAAGAGTGGTATTGGGTTCTTTTAGATGTTAAAAACTTATTGGGTTGAATTATAAATTTAGCAGGTTCAACTTTCATATTAATGTTTCAAACTTAGAAAAATGTCTAGTGGATTTCAGTTTAAAGTATATAATAAATTCTTAGAAACTTTTATTTTGCATTTAATAATTTTCTAGACATATTTGATATTTTTAAAATTAATTCATCTATTAGATATAATATTGAATTGTGTGTCTAATAGAACTCTAAACAAAAATGTTGATTGGGTCAATGATCTATCACATACAAAATCTAAAATTCATATATCTATTAGACACAAAATTGAAAATTTAGAGACTTATCAAATACTTTTTAAAATTTAAGGAGATCTATTAATTGTTGATGCAAAAATTTGATCGGATCGACCAAACCTGCAAAATAAAATTATTACACACTGGTATGGTGCTAGCCACACACGCTCCGATGTTATGAATTTTTCCTATCCATAACACTAGACCTCACTTTCAAAGTTGAAGATATTGAGGTAACCGAAATATCATACTTTTGCTCAGGGAGTATTTGGCGTAAATCCATTATCGGTCATTTATTGTTAGCCATTCTTAGACGATTATCTTTGGTAGGCCATTCTTGGTCTACCATTCTTGGTTCTTCATTTGTTACCGGCCATCCTTTGTCGCCATTCGTGGTTGTCCACGGCCATCATTGGTCCATCATTATTGGTCCACCATTTGTGGTTCGTCATCTATTGTAGGTTAATTATTGTTGGCTTTCTAGCTCATTGATGTTGATCGGTCTTCAAACTTACTGATCTTGATGAACTTTACTTCTAACAATAGCCTCCACTCTTTCAATGAGATTTTACTAGGTCGAAGGCCACCATCTGACAGACAACCTCTATCTTGAGGGTAGTTAATCTTTCGCATTCAGTGTAACCTTGAATCAACAAGACGTTCCATTTAATGTGATTTTTCATAGTTTGTTCACCTCACGAGTCAATGTTCTGTTTAATCAAGTATTTGGGTAGAGACAATAATGGTGACTTTCTCCAATATCATAGATCCATTATGTGAAAGTATTGCTAGTGAAGAAATCCATATGCTTCAAATTTCACGATGTATGAGGCAATTACTACTTGTGGGAAGATGTGATAATATTTGGGTCTACTAGCTATCCAATTGAGGTACGATCGGGGAACAAGCTAGTTTTTGTTATGCTTCTTTGGGGAGTAGCATTAGACTTGTTTATCATAATGATGAGCAGGAACTTGATGTAACGTTGTTTTCACTGTCTATGTTGAATTTGTTTGCTCAACTCTTATCGACTTTAGAATTATCTTTAAACTATTTTGTTTTTCTCTTTAAATGAAAATCATGTGAGTAAGTCGACTTTTTGACCTGTTCATTTATTGAAGGCCAGAAGAATTGAATATTTCCTTTGAGTGATGATAGATCTGAATGATTGCTTTTTGACTAGTTGTTTTGGGTGGCTATCTTGTGAAATTTTCGCAAGATCAAGTTATTATTAGATTTATTTGCTCGACTTGATTTGTAGGACTCTAAACATGACTAAGCGACTGCTTGTTTTGCTTCCAAAGACCTAAATAAAATTCATTCTCAACTCAATTCTTATTATTCATTCTTGGCCCAAGCTTATCTCTCGACCTCGAGCTCGTTCTCGGTTTCAAACTTGTTCTCAGCTTCAATATTGCTCTGAGTTTCGAGCTTGTTTCCTGGTTTTCTAGATCATTCTCGAATTTGAGCTCGTTCTTGGCCTCTCGATTTTGTTGTTTTAATCAAATCTCTTAGGCTTCATTGATTGGCTTTTGTAGCCCAACTAAACTGAGCAGAGGAACTGGCGAGTGATGAGCCGACCAGATCAATTAAGGTCATGAATGGACCAAGTCGACAGAGAGKCCCAGACCGAGCCAACCAGGTCGCCTACAAGACCCAAGCTGAGCCAACCAATTGATTCACTAGTTGGCTTTAGTCCTTGGTTCTTGTATCGATTCTTTTTCTTCGGTCTCGTCTTTAAAAGTTGTGCATGCTCATGGATCTTCTAGGCTTTTAATCAAATCTCTTAGGCCTTAACTAGCTGTGTTTATTCACCCGATTTCAGTTTTCCTTGTGTTTCAACTAGCTAGGCTTGTTCTCTTGCCTTTAGTTTTAATACCTTTGGGTTTTATCGACCCGTTAGGTTTTACTTGCCTAATTCTGGCGTTCATACCCTTGGTTTAGAATTGGCTTGGTTGGCTACTTCCAGCTTCATACCCTTATTGAGTTTTTTAATTAGACTGACTGGCTTTTAATAAAGTCTCTTAGCTCCACTAACCGGCTTGAAATACCCATTAGTTTTACTGTCCTTAGGTTTTAATTGATTGGGCTCGTTCCCTTGCCTTTTTCAACACCTTTGGGCTTTGACCATTTAGGCTCATTTGCCATTGGCCTTCTATACCTCTTATTTTATTGACTGACTTAGTTTGTTTGACTGCTTTAAGCTTTAACTGATTGAACTCGTTCGCTTGCCTTTTTCAGCACCTTTGGGTTTTGACCATTTGAGCTCTTTTGCCATTGAGATCGATTTTCTATATCCTTGGTTTCAGTTCCACAAAAGCCGAGTATTGTGCCTTAGCTTGAATTATGCTGAATTATTTTGGTTACGCTAGCTGGTATATGATTTGTACATTTTCAGTTCTAAGGCTCCACTTCTCTTTAGTGATAACATTTCAGCAATTCAACTAGTCAAGAATCCTATTTTTCATGGGCGAACAAAACACATTGAAATTGATTTTCATTACGTTTGTGAACGAGTTGTTCGTGAAGATCTTGGAGTAAAGTCAGTT